TGCGTGGACTTGCTAGTTGATGACCTTCTTTCCTGACACTTCAAGTGTTCACATAACTGGAACACTCAACGCCTGTTGACGCCTGCTGATTACTAAGAAGATTACATATGACCATGTTTCCTAAACATTTCTGTAGTAATGTCAAGGTATGTCAACAGTCTCAGGGTGAAACATGTACAAACACAGCAAACAAACACAAGAAAGGCCATGTGGGTATTTGGCAGGAATCATGCCGTATCTTACAGGACTTTACTCAAAAAGCCTCAGAATAAATCTATTCGGAAGAATACTTCTGATTGTCTGCACATCATGAGCGAGATAGAAATTTTCATACGACAGCAAAGTTTCAATTTGTCTTACTTGCTGAAAGGTAAACATCTATACAGCAGAGAATAAAGGAGGGAAAAGACTGGGTTTTCAGGGGCATAAAGCCGGATTTCAACATCCTTTGGTGTGCAAGGCGTCGAAGTATTTTCATTGTTAACTAGTCTGGCCAGCACAATAAATACATTTCTTTTACCTTCACCTACTAGTGCAGGTGAAGACGCAGTGGTGAAACGCAGTGGTGACATATAGTCTCGTGTACGTATGTACGTATGTACAGAGTAGAGTAGAGTGGAGTAGACTTTCGTACCGGTAGGAAGTTCTCTTCCACTGTGAGCCGCTCCTTGTAGCTTCTTACGTAGACATGGTCATCTTGTGCGGGTTGTCTAGTGCCCGGGGATTGTACACTACCGGATGGCTTCTCATGTGTTTGTCCGGTCTGTTTTTAAAACTGTTCACACTTGGATCTGTTACCACATCCTCGGGTAGACTGTTCCACCATGTTACGACCCTGTTGCTGTAGAAGAACAGCCTTTTGTTGTTTTTCGCTGATCTTTTGCTTAAGCGTAAACTGTTCTTGTTTAATACAGCAGCCGACTTAGCGAGTGCAACTTTGTCCACTATATCCTGGCAAAAATATTTTCTCTGTCTTTCAAACAAGGCGTTATTCTCCCGTCAAATTACAAGCTACACAAGCGGCGAGAGCGGTCTGCCCTGAACCGAGACCAGACCTGACCAGACGTGGGCCATTTTCAGCCGTCCGAAAGAAGCAACTAAACATTTTGGAAAGTAAGATTTGTAAAAAAAAATCAGGTTAGCTGACCTATATTTATCATTACATTTGATATTGATTTGATATAACATGTGTTTAAAGTTTTAGATCAAATCGTAGAAAACCACTAAAACTCGCTTGTAACCTGGGTAGTGGTTGGTTACGTGAATAAGTTGCATTTTCCCTGGTTGCCGTAGTTGGTAATAATAAGAAATTTTTAAGATGGTGCGCATATCGGTAATGGCTACCAGAAAGATATAATGTAAAAATAAAACGCTTTTCAGACTAACATTAAAGCTAGGGAAAGTAGTGAGAAAGTAGTCTAGGGATGAACGGTGAGTACATCACATGTAAATTAGACAACTTTTTTTGCCCTGCGGCAAAGTCTTTTCTCGCTTCGAAACCAGACTTTAAGACCTGACAAAAACAGAAGACCAATAATCATGCATTTTGGCGGAACATATGTTTTAATCACAAACCATCAGAATACAATCATATTCCTAGATGAACAGAGCGGGAAAACTCAGAGTTCCTGTAAGCATATATAAAGTAAACAAATGGTGTCGCAGCGCAAATCTTTTCAGAGTTCAGCGCTGTCAATTTCAGGTTTTGCATATAATATATACGAAGTACATGGGGCGGATAACTTTCTAGAAAGGCAATTTTGTACAATTTTAGCCACCAAAAACCCGCCAAGTGCGGGCCAGCAAGCAGATGGTCTTATATAGGAGGCGCCAAAACACAGCGACATGCGACGGGGGCTCTAATGGTTGCCATGTGCGGAAAAGAGTCTATCGTTGTTAGAATAAGTTTTTCATGAAAGGAAATCCAATTAATGAGAGACGTTTGACGCTATGAGCTGTTCTGAACTATGTTTGAGGACCCAGGGAGGTATCCCGCCCTTCTACGAATTTCCAAAGCCGGGCCTAGTGTGAGAACGTTTCGACCGTAATCCTAACGGAAGTTTGTGGAAAAATATTTGACGATTCAGGTTGATTTTAGGGCAGCGATTAACGCACCTCTGATACTCTTGTAATAGAGGAAGAGTCCATGAGGGCTCAGGTGCAGACCGTCAGCTGCAAAATACTCCTTAACGTTACGAAACAGGCGGTCATGCCGCCAAGTAGTAATCTGGGGCGTTGACCCACAGAGGTTCTTCAGATGTTCAGAAAACACACGAATTTCATCATTAAAAATGGGGCCTGTTAGGCGGCAAAGACACACGCCAAATGGGTAAGCCTAGGATGACCCTTTTGACGGATTGGAGCGCGGCAACCTCGCCAGCTAGCTCCCATAGCCTCTCGGCCACTTGTTCGGGGGGTTGTGGGGAGGACACAAGATCGTTATGTCCGAGCTCTATGTACACAACCGAAGGTCTAATAGACTGAATTCGTGGTAACACCCTTGAACGAAAGGTATTGATGTGGCATCCAGGGATACCATCATAGCGGATAGAATGATCTAACCAAAAATCCGGGGCGACTGCCCTCCCCTGTTGAGAACTAGATTGGCCTCGCACAAATCTCTCCAAACGTGCGACAAAGGAGTGACCGGCTATGATTATAGTATCATGGGCCGAAGCCCCAGAAGAAGAAGCCATGAGAAGCAGACTTACCGGAAAAATTTCCGTAAGCGGAAAAGTTTGTGGGTGACTTATCGATCGGCTCCCACTCTAACGCTCCGCCCTGCTGCTTCTGATGTCAGCCAGGCTGGCCACGTGCGAAAACGCAGGCTCATGAATATTGAACAGGTTCGAAAGGAAACTACCGTGGCCGACAAGTACAAAATTTTACACCGCAACTTTTGGTGTTTTACACTGCAACTTTGGGTGTTTTACACTGCAACTTTGGGTGTTTTACACTGCAACTTTTGGTGTTTTACACTGCAACTTTTGCTGTGTTTTATACTGCAACTTTTGCTGTGTGGAAAACTTACACCCCTCCCCTTTTATAATGGACGGTCCCCCTGTCAGGTCAAAGCTGACAAAGATGGCGGCGTCAAGTCACAAGCTGACGTCTAGGGACATTAAAATGAAGAAAAACGATGTCCATACCCAATAATAATGAACTAACCTGCAGAAAATTTATGTCATTGCTGTTGATGTCTGGAGCTGGATATCTGACGTCCTTGATAAATTTGTTGTGACGCATGGCAGCAAAAAGCAACATAATTTGTAATCACTGGACCTGGTCGAAACATTTTAAAATTTATCCCGGTCTATAGGCCAAAGCTAGAAAAACCTTTAGAAAAAAACTAACGTCACAACGTAGCCAAGCTTTTCCTCTAAAAAACTTATGCACGAAAAGGATAACTCAGTCGACGTAGTTTGCATGCCATCGTTGTCACCTTTGACCTGACAGGGGGACCGTCCATTATAAAAGGGGAGGGGTGTAAGTTTTCCACACAGCAAAAGTTGCAGTGTAAAACACAGCAAAAGTTGCAGTGTAAAACACAGCAAAAGTTGCAGTGCAAAACACCAAAAGTTGCAGTGTAAAACACAGCAAAAGTTGCAGTGTAAAACACAGCAAAAGTTGCAGTGTAAAACACCCAAAGTTGCAGTGTAAAACACCAAAAGTTGCAGTGTAAAACACCAAAAGTTGCGGTGTATAACACCAAAAGTTGCGGTGTAAAATTTTGTTCTTGTCGGCCACGGTAGGAAACATTGCCATGGTGATCATGCAAACAGCGCGTGATCGCATGAATATTCATCAGGTCAAAACAAGAGGCCCCCGGAGCCAACTCATGAATATTCAATTAGGCTGGTCGCCCGTATATCGTTACATGATACATCCAAAACATTGTTGCCAAGATTATAAGCGTCTGTCTCCCCGCTCGAAATCAATTTCTCCTAAAAATCTTTTTTTTTTAACTCCTAAAATCTTTTAAAAATCTGCCTATGAGTGGAGCTTGGGTGGTACCCGTCACATTGTTGGTCAATAATGAAAAATTATTATTCTGTCACAGCAGCAAAGACTGGCTTTTGATCAATCTGGTTGTTATTTATACACGTATATGCTAATATGTAGGTTGCATTTTTCTACTCGCCGGAAATTCTCTATCAAAAAAATTTAATTCTCTTTCTATGGCATAACTTCACCTAACCACAGCTTCTAATAGAGTCCTAAGAGGTGATGTAGAAAACGTAGCTTAGCTAAGGCCACATCAATTTAATTTGTTGCTTCTCTGATTTGCAAAAAAAAATTTGGGGGGTTCTAAATTAACTGCAAAATGCTCAATGAAAGACATATTTTGGCCCAAAAAAAGTCCTTTTCTTCCTAGTTCTAAATTTTTTCAATGTTTTTAAATGCAATTTTGTTTCATTAAAAGTCCAAAATCTATTGTTTCAATCATGAACCAGCCCGGTATGTTCACTTCATGGCTCATATTGTAACATTTCCGGCTTTTATGGGGTGTCTTGGTCTGTTTGTTTTTCTTTCGCCCTGTCGCTCCTGATTTTTTCTGAAAAAATCTGAGAAACAACAAATTAAATTGGTGTGGCCTAATGATTGCATAAACGACTTTTCTCAAACAGGAAATGTTCAGCAGACTGGGGAAACTTCTGGTTCTTCTGCTGACGATCTTGAAGGAAAGTGGAGCAGCCACATATGTGTTTGACAACAACTGTAAAGGTGACTGTCGTGACAAAGGCCTCAGAAGAGTTCCACAAGATCTCCCCAAATGTATAATGTCTCTTTCTTTAGAGAGAAACGCCATCGTATCCTTAAAACAGTCCGACTTCTCCAGGTACACGGAGTTAAAAGAAATTAAGTTAAATAATAATCATATAACCGACATAGAGAATGGCACATTCACATGCCAAACCTGTCTTCTTGCGTTGTATCTGGACTATAATCATTTAACTGATATTGAACCTGGTGCACTTTCAAATCTACCCCAGCTTAACATGTTGAGCCTGTCTAAAAATAGAATAACTAAAATTCCACCTGGTTCATTTTCAAATCTACCCCAACTTTACATCTTGTACCTCTCCAGAAACAAAATAAGTAACATTCAACGTGATTCATTTTCCTATCTGCCCCAGCTTTTGGAATTGGACCTGTCGAGCAACAGGATAACTAACATTCAATGTGGTTCATTTCTAAATTTACCTGAGCTAAGCCTTTTGTACTTAAATGGTAACCAGATAGGTAATATCAAACCTAATACATTTTCAAATTTACGCAATCTTCAAACGCTGAGGCTGCATTATAACAAGATAACTGGTATTAAACATGGTTCATTTTCAGATCTTCCCATGCTTTTCACTTTGAACCTAACATTCAACCAGATAACTAGCATTCATCCTAGATCATTTTTCAATCTAACCAGACTCTCCTGGTTGTTCTTGAGCTCCAACCAAATAACTGTTCTCCAGTCTGGCACATTTGCAAACTTACCCAGCCTTGAGATTTTGCATCTCGACGACAACCAAATAAGTATCATTCAGGGAGGCATATTTTCAAATCTCCCCAAACTCAAGACACTGTTGCTAAACGACAACAAAATCACAGTTCTGTCAGAATATAATGAGCTGATGTTGATTGCAACTGTAAACCTCGAGAACAACCCGTGGCAGTGTGACTGTAGGATGGTTCCCTTCAGACAAAAGATGGTTGGGAAAGCAGTCGAGGATCAGATCATATGCAAAGAGCCCAGCCGGTTCGCAGGGCGAAAGCTTGAAGCTATAAACGCCGATAATCTGATCTGTGAAGAACCACAAATTTTGGGGTTTGAGGTCCTTGGTGGGAACGGGACATTGTTAGAGGGGGAGACACTCTTTGTAAAGTGTGACGTGTTGGGAATTCCCACCCCAGACATCACAGTGACTCTCCCTTCTGGCAAAAATGCGTCTGTTGAGTCAGATGGGAGAGTGGCTGTGAGGGCGAATGGTACCGTTATCATACAGGACATTACTGCAGCTGCAGATTCCGGTTTGTACGTCTGTTTGGCAGTGAGTCCCATTGGCTCCACGTCTGCCAAACTGTCTATTCACGTACAGGGACCATCAACCGTAAGCCCTTCAATAATACCCTACAGCTTTGTACGTGGCAACGTTGCTGACAAAACGCTCTTCTACCTTTATGGTGGTATCGGTGCCGCCGGGGCATTGTTGAAATGTTATATCGTCATTTCAATATGCCGTAAGCAAGTTACCAAAAAACGGCGTCCTCTGGTATCGGTATCCTCTGCCATTTTCAGGAGCTTAGGAACAGTTGTGACAGTATCCAATGGCAACTTTGAGTTTGAACAGGGGGAACATTCTTTCACCGGGACACCACGACTGGCAACGAGAATTGCAACAAGTACTTTAAAAAACTTAGAGGGCCAGATTATGTCCCCGAGCCACGAAACAGCCGCTTTATCTGAGGAGCACATTCAAATTTATGAAAATGACGACGAAGCAGATTTAAATGTTGATCACATATATGAAAATGACAATGACTCAGAGGAAGATGGTATCGTATCTGTAAATGTATATGAAAATGACAATGAAGATGTGACGGTTGCCCCCATATCTCTGTCACACATAAACGTGTATGAAAATGATAATGAATTAGGGCGAGTTGCTTCCATCTCTGGGTCACTGCACATATACGAAAATGGCAATGAAGATGTGTCAGTTCCTCCTATATCCGGAATACACGGAAATCTATATGAAAATGACAATGAACTAGTGTCAGCTGATCCTCTCTCTAAACTACACGGAAACGTGTATGAGAATAATGATGAGGATGTAGCATCTGTAGATGTGCAACATTCGTACGGATACGAAAATGATGACGAAGTATTTATTGAGTCTCTGGCTCAAGGGCAAACCGACATATATGAAAATGGCAATGAGGAAGCAGCATATAGTCAGTCTATATTTCTGCCTAAGATTGACTGTGACAAAACGATATCTGATGATCGTGAAGAGGATATTGACGTTGATAAGCATGACAGTGACGATCAGAAAGCAAAAAATGCATCTTCTACGTTCATCTATGACACAGAAAATAAGAAAACAACCTCTGCTGCTTGTCAGCTTCTGTATAAGAATAACAAAGCTGTCGAAGGTACTTTCTAGTTAATCTATGGAAAACACAACAACAAAACAGCTAAGGCTGCGAACCTCTATGGGGCTTCTAATGTGGGCATGGGCAAGGCCAATCTTTAAAATGCTGTACAGAAGTCTTGTTAAATTACCCAACAACAGCAAAGCTCCAGGGTGCATTTGCAACATCTTAATACTCTTTTGAGCGAAACGCATCTTTCTTGTAAATAATTTATAGCCAAACATGTCAGCAAAACAAAAACGTACGTTAACTACCGATGGGGAAACGCATTAAACATGTCACGAAATGCAAACGTAAAATTAGTACAACTGCAAAACAAATATTTTACTCAATTCTGTTTCTAAATTATTCTAAATTTTAAGAATCTAATCTACTTTCATATATAATGTACATGTATAACAATAAAGAGATACTAATTATACTAATCTAACTCTATTGATAGTAATATAATATTGTGTCAGGATTGTATTACATTTTCTCGTTTTGTCAGCGAATTGTGTATAAATTGAAGTACGTATGTGGATATATTGACAGGGCATGATAGAAGCATATTGAATATAAATATATATCTGTATTTGTATGGGGTAGCGTTACATCGGTCTTACATGTAATATACTGTAACAATTTTCGTCGGTCTTCTTCATAAGTTGGACAATCTATTATAAACAAAATGTAATTTATTTTCAACGCCTTAAAGGCACGTGGGGCACAGTCCCTCATTGTCAAATGATGTAAAATATATACATATTCAACATATTTTTTGTTTCGTGACTTTCGTGCAGGGTGCTAGTTGTGTCTGGATGGGAGAATTACGTGTTGTTTTAAGGAAGAATTCGAAAAATCTAAGTCTAGGATTGTACTTAGCTTGCTCATCGTCAGAACGTTAGAGAAGACAAAGCAATTATATAAGGCCTATTACTGCAAAAACTAATCAGCGGCAATTCTCATTCATGTACAGGGGACCTACAGTCTGGAATAACCTAAACAAAACATTAAAGCTATGTCCATCTTTAAATATTTTCAAATCCCACGTCAAAGCTGATTTCATTAATGACTCCGCACTTTCCTAGATCATCTTTTCACATACTACGTTCTTATATATTATTACATTGTTTCATGTTCTTACTGATTGATTTACTAATTTGCTATATTTCCATTTGTTTGTAGCCAAACACATTGGTTTTGTTTGGTTCATGCATTGTTTGTTTGGTTCATGCATTGTTTGTTTGGTTCATGCATTGTTTGTTTGGTTCATGCATTGTTTGTTTACTTATGTTAAACCTGATCATTTTGTTTATATGACTGTTTTTGCTTATTTCTTTAATTGATTCATTATTTTGTTTCATTGATGTAAGAATATAATGTTAGTTCACATGGGGGGAGTTGTCATACAAGCCTGTGGCTTTTCCTCTACCCCTGCATGTTTACTTGTTTCTGTTATACTTATGTTTTGCAAATTTTGCTTTTACTTTGTATGTGCAATAAATAAAACATAAAAACGTACTGTACCTGTGCAAAACTCATTTTTTCGCGGTTTTCGGTTTTCGATGTTTAGTAGCATCAAATTTTGGAACACGTTGCAGATGATATCTTTTTCGACACAACATTTGAAATCTAATATAATAATTTTTATGATTTTTGGTATGTGGGTAGCTTAGACAGAGATCTACATTATTGGATACAAATTATGCAAAAGATGACTTCATTTGCATAATCAATGAGGAAATTATGTAATTCCAGTGTTTTACATCATGGGACTTTGATACATATACATAGTATTACGTAATGTTTATAATCTATGGCAGGTGTAATATCACCAGGTACCAATTATGCAAATACGGACCTAATTTGCATAATTTATCTGAAATTTCTATTCCTCCTTAGTGGCAAATGATGGGAATTTCATACTTGTACATCACGATGCATTTATTATGTTAATGTGGAGGTCATTCGCATAATTAAAGAAGACATTTACATTTACTTGTCAAGCCCATATTTCATGGAGGTATGAGATCTCGGAACTCTTGTTTACTACTGCATCCCCAACTACACTGGAAGGTGAAGAATATAATTGCGTGGGCTGCCTAGACTAGTTAACAGGACATCACAAGTACCACCTAACGGTAAACTTCAAGAAAGAAACATCAAGAAAGTATCAAATCCGGTGTAGGAATGTTGCTCCTATAAGCCAAGCCTTTTCTTTCCTTTACCATGACGGCTACGCGAGGCTGGCCTTCGGTGCGAATGCTAATCTCCCAGTCAGTTTACTTCAAAACAGTCAGCAATCAGCTAACATTTGTTTGAAAGGTGAAAGTTCATATGCTCTCCTATAATTCTGTACTGTTTTGTCAGTTTGATTGACCGAAGGAGAAAAACAGAGTTTTGAAACTTTCCATCAAACCGTATGTAACTAGATACACCAGACTGCGACTATTCTTTATGTGCCCCAGTCCCCCCCCCAGCGAACAAAAACACGTCACTCGAGTTGAGTACCGTCCTAGCCTTGACCTCCCCAGGGAAGACACGTCCATTTCCGACCAATAGGGGTGCTTAAAAGCGTACGTTTTAAGATAGAAGAAAACCTCAACCCGACTATATAAGATTAGGCGTCTTCATGTGCATACAGTCAAGGACGCGACCGTATCATTTGACAAAACACGCAGGGGGACTTCTTATGGTTAAAGCCTGCCTGACCATGGACACCCCTCCTTTTACAGTGGCCTGCTCCATCTCAACCTGTCTCGCCTGTGAGTGTGGTATTGTTGTGTCGTCGACCGTAAAAGGTAACATATTTTCGTCATTTTTGTTTAATCATACGATTACCTGCGATGGCTGTACCATTTGTGTGTCTAGGATGGAGTTTTTAGGACATAAATGCCGGATTGGGAATGACACAACGAAGTGCTGTTTGTATGTGTTGCCGTTTGCACAATCCAGAAAATCATTCACCCATGAATAGAGGTGTGAGTTGGAATCCTAGCTGTGAATATCGTTCACCCAACAAGCTACATGAAATGGTATCGACTACTAGTATATAGTCCTTAGCACGGGGAGTCAACAGTGGCCCGCTGTTCATTGTACTTGTCGAAAAGAGATGGAAGAATTCTGTAGGTAGAGTAAACTTGTATGTACTCGTACATATAGCGCTTGTCTTCTCTGTCAAGACCAGCGCGGAAGAGTCACTCAACTGTTCACTGAACCTGAACCAGGGTGTGGAAGCTCCTTGCCTGAACCGATTCGAGCCCCACAAGATGCTCAACTAGATCATCCAGTTCTGACAGTTTTATGGCAATTCATGCTACCAAAACAAACAGTCAAAAAGATCGGGCGGTCATTCTCTGGAACAACTTACCACAAAAAAAAATCAAAACACTATCCATCCGGCTACCTTTAAAAATGCCATCCTTCATTTGTTTTCAAACACTCATAGTTTAAATCTGTAACAACTCTTTCAACACCAAAGTAAAGTATGTAATTAGTTCGTAAATGGATTATACATACATACATACATACATACATACATACATACATACATACATACATTTACATACATACATACATACATAATGTTACCAAGTTCTGTATGTTTCCACTTTATGCATTCTCCCACGGCAGAGCTATCCCGCGACAAATACGTTGCCCTTGGGACAGACACGCTATGTACATTCCAAGGCCAGCGTATTTTGCCTCCGGATAGTTCAGCCGTTCGAGAAGTTTTTTAACGGGTTTGCTCAGTGCATGACCAAATACGAGATGTTAAAACCGGAAGTTCTGCTGCAGTACCAACTAAAGCCGCCAGGGGGCCCAAAATCTAATCACCTCGAGGTCTCATCAAGACCTACGCACCTACCAAGTTTCATGACGAAGCATATAAAGCTTCTTGAGTTATCGCACGCGTGCTAAACCACACACAAACACACAAACAAACGCTACTGAAAACATTAACCTTCTTGGCGAAGGTAACAAAATGTAGACTAGACTACTCCTGAACACTAAACTAACGCTCATGACCGAAGCAGCATCTCATCACCCTATGTCAGAAACATCAAACTTGGGCAAGCTGACTAAGTGACTCAAAAGGCGAAGCAGCGGTTACGAAGGCTGTTTGTGTTTTTTTTTTCAATTTGAAAAATGGAGCTATTGTTTTTGGTGCGTATGCGCGTGTGTGTGTGTGCCTGTCTACGTGTGTTTCCGCAACTTTGTGGTCAGCATAACTTCATAACGCCTTTATGGATTGTGATGATATTTGGTATGCTGGTAAGTCTTAGGAAGACGAAGGTCAAGCTTAATTATGGGCCTCCTGGTGGATGACCTTGGTACTGCAACAGAACCTCCGGTTTTTGTACATAAATTTACATATTACATATTTCATGGAGGTATGAGATCTCCGAATTCTTGTTTTATCATGCGGTCTGTATTTTTTTTATATTGCATATTTTGAACCCTGTCAGATTAGCCATTAGGCTAAAGGGTATGGGAACAAAGAGAGTACAGACTGAGTACGCTTTCACCTTGTGTTTCAGCGCTAGTACGACCATGCCAGCGGGTCTGACCTACGTGGTGACGGGGGGATGCGGGTTTGTCGGGTCCCATATTGTCGACTTGCTGGTGCAGAGGGGGAGAAACATCTCCGAGATTCGCGTGGTCGACACGCAACCTCGCACCTACGGCAAGTCTCCGGAAAAGACAGGTAACTAGAAAAGTAACATTTGCAAAGCAAATGCATAATGTTTACCTTCGGACATGGTCTGCTCTGTTAATTCTTACTCAAACACATTCACATACATTGCACTACTAGTATATGGTGACATGAGTAGAGCAGACCATGAAATTGCAACATTATGTAACCCAACACCAGTCACCATGGTGACAGACGTGAACAAATCATGTCATCGGTCAGGTCAGAGGTCACTGTTTGGATAAGAGGATGAAGAAACTGAGCAAAAACAATATGTTTTCCTTCGGTAAACATAAAAAGGCAATTCACCAGTTTGGAGTGTAAATACTGTTTTGTTGTTGCATCCTTAGCAGGCCCTACTACTGTTTTGCAGTCTAAATACACCTCTTTTGCTGATAGCTTCTTGTACTATAGCCAGTCCAAGAACTCGAGTGAAAACATTTACAAGTCGCCGTTCCATACACTAACTCACAACAGCTAACAGTATGTATCAAATGGTTTTTAAAACAAATATTTTACAAAGAAAGGGAAGATTTATACGTTTTGCAAAGAAATATGGCGCTAACAAACAATAACTGACTTTGACCTTGTAGGGGTCAAGGTCAAACTGATCCGCGGTGACGTCACGAACATGGCGCAGATGACAGAGGTGTGCGCAGGCGCAGACGTAGTCATCCACACAGCGGCACTGATTGACGTTTACGGATTTGTCAGTGACGTGACCTTGTGGGACGTCAATGTTAAAGGTGTGCTCTCAAGGTCATCGTGATTACGTCACTTTCTGTTCTCTCGTGTCTGTTTCTATTTTTCACCTCATTCCACCTTAGCAGTTAAAGAGAAACTGTTCAGCGCTTAGAAATGAAAATAAGTGTATATCAACCTACGAAGATATGCATCGTATACATGTGTAATTAAAGCCTTCTGCACAACCGGAAGTTAGCCAGGGCAATCCTTTTCTGAACGATCCTCGCAGTACTTTTCTATTCAGATCTCCAAACACTTTTAATTACATTAACAGTGATTTTTATGTCAAAACTAGGCACAGGCATTGTAATTATATCCTGGAGTCCAGGTTTGTTAGCTAAAGATCCGCTACCCCGCCAACAAGGATCATGGGGAGTGTGCTAAAGCCTGGAGTACTCGAGGCTATTCTATAACATGTACATCAATATCAATCCATAAACACCAGGTACAGAGACCCTGCTGCAGTGCTGTGTGAATGAAGACGTGACCTGCTTTGTCTACACCAGCAGCCGGGAGGCCGTGGGGCCCAAACAGCGGGGCGACCCAGTGGAGGATGGGGACGAGAGCACGCCGTACGACAGCTCGTCCCCAGTGCTGTTCTACAGCCGGACCAAGGCGGCTGCGGAATCGGCGGTTCTGAGGTGGAACGGGCGGCGGACAAACGGCGGCAAAACTCTGCACACCTGTGCCTTGAGGCCGTCAGGTACGGCAGTATCGTACCCGGAGCCTATCTAGCTCTATGATGAATGGGTTAGGGTTAAGATCAGACACGGTTCTGAATAATTTTCGCGTATCCAAGAACGTAGATTTGCCCCAGGGATGTTTCGGGATACGCGTGGACTTTCCAGAGCCTTGCTTGAGCGTAATCCTGGGTAAGACTATTATTAGCGAATCATTTAATATCTAAACGCTGTTTCTTGCAGGCATATATGGTGATGGCGAGATGGCGACGTTTAAGATATGGCGGGAGATCGGTTTGAACCCGTTCGCAGGGCCTCACCGACTCATCAGTCACCCCAAGGTCAAGTGCAGCTGCGCGTACGTCGGGAACGTCGCCTGGGCACACCTGCTGGCCGCCCAGACGCTACTGACGTCACCTAGCAACGCTGGCGGGGAGGCGTTCTTCATCGCCGACGACACGCCCGTAGGGAACGAGATGGCGACGTACAGCAACATTTTTGCCCCTGTCGGAATCCGTTGGGACGACAGCCTTGTCCTCCCCCTCTGGGTCCTGTACTTTATCGCTTATATTCTCGCTTTCCTGCGATTCCTCTTGAAGCCGTTTTACAACTTCGTCCCCCGCCTGACTCCGGCTGTGCTGACGCTAGTGAACACCACTTTCTGCGTTAACTATAAGAAAGCCGCGCGTCTTCTCGGCTACAAGCCGCTCTTTACATGGGAGGAGTCTAAACGGAAAACGCGGGAAGCGCTGATGGAATGGAAAGCTAGGGAGTTCTCGTCAGGTCATACCAAGTAATTTTATGGATGACCTCAGCGCGCGCATAAATTTTCGCCTAATTTTGAAAAAAAAATGTTTTGCCCTCTGACAGTGGTCAACATTCCGAAAATAGGCAACTAACTATGTTCTAAATGCCTATATATTACAGAAACAAAACGCTTCTAGTTGTATGTGTCCAGATATGCTTTTCTTCTCTTCTGGGATGGAAGGTTTAACTCATGCTATACATAGTTTTTCAAATGTCTTGTAAACGTCTTTTTTTTTCATTGTAAAAGTGGCTGTGACAATATAAGTTGTACATAACTGGAGTTCGCAGTCACTTAGTCCATGTCCTTTTATTTGTATTCATTATTGTGCATCTGAAAAAATTTAAAAAAATGCCTATCGGGTCGGAGACCATCAGGAATCCAGCAAACTTTGAGGCATGATGGTTCGCGTTTGATCGCAAATGTTGACACTCACGTGTTCCATAGCATCTATTCCAACCCGGCTGCCCATGGTGGTACTGCTAGCCGTTTTGCTAGAATTTCTAATTAATTAAGGTTTTTGCACATCTATGAGGACAGTTGAGTACAGGAGTAAATTGAGATCGGTTTGGTTGAGAAATGATATTTTGTCACTACAGTTTATGTCAAACAAGGCTTCAAAATTTGATAATGAAAGAATCTCGCTTTTTTTGCCCGCCTTGTTTTTTTTTTCGCCGAATTAGATTTGGAGTCTGTGGAATATGTCATCCATAAACATTATTTTCTGTGGCCTAAGTCATGGATAGCTTCCTGTGTAGATTTCTGTGGGGAGAAAGAATTCCCACAAGGCTCAAAGGTCCACTTAAATTTTTGGTCCACTTTCTATCTAAAGGTCCAAGTTTTAGATGGACTGATCCGTATCACCAGCGGGGCTGGAATCGTAGAAAAACTGCCTACTTTGTCATTGAATAAAAAGTTATCTCTGATTTTGTCTTTGAAATGCTCTCAAAAACGCAGGAAATGCCATCTCAGAAGGTTCATTTTTCAAAATTTTCCGGGGGAGCATGCCCCGGACCCCCCTCGCGCCTACGGCGCTCGCCGGTCCCTTAAGCACTGGGAGGAACCCCCACCCCCCAATCATTCAAAATCCTGGCTACGGGCATGGGGACAGCGCTTGTTCCTATATAGATCTAAGCGCGGCTTAAGCTGAGGTTTCTTTTCGGGGGGAGGGCCTTGTTTCCGAGGGTAGGGAGCTGTAACGCACGCACTAACTCGAGTTTCCTCAGTGGCATGACTCCTCTGCCACATTAGATTAGAAAGGGCAATCCTCACAAAGACTGAAAGATTTCGCAATAGCTGCATTCCATATTTGGTACGACTGCTAAACACAATAGTTTTTTACTAATTGCTAGCGGCAACTTGTACGTTTGTACGTATATGTAGCCTTTATACAACATACGCATTACTACGCTCTATAAATATTTTAATGATTCTTGTCGAATTTTAACCATCGTATGTGCAAATAGAAATTTTAATGTGTAAATTCATGTGATTCACCTCGGTGCCGTCATGGATACCGTCCGACGGTGACCACTTTGTAACTTTTATTTTGGATAAGGGTAATGTTGTTTTAACTAATTAGCACATTCTGGGGTTACAACCAATTCAGGACCCATGCCCTGCGATATGTAACAAGTGCTTGAAGAACAATAAACCAGTATTATATTATAGAACTTTTATCCCATGTAAAAAAAAAAATTGCATGTGGCAACCTTTTTTATTCACAGTCACTTGTGTTTCAGTAAACTTGCTAGCATTAATATTATCGATGTGATTTAATGTGATTAGTATCATTAATGTGATTGAAGTTAACATGAAGATACATCATCATTTAAAGATCAACTATCGTTCTTCTAAATTTTACAAATTTCCTAAGAAACTTGTAAAACGTGTTAATAAGGAACAGGTCTCTGTTGTGTCAGAACAAAATGGCGTCATCTGATAATCACACGCTACTGCCGGCGCCTGCTAACTTCAGTTCAACGATCAGTTGATACTAGTACAACTTGTCTTACCCCATAATGGTCAGACATTTGTAGCTTCCTAAAAAAAAGGCCAGATGGTTCACAAAATGAGAGTCTGTCTTTCGTCGGTTAGCTAAGTGCTAGGGTGACCGAAAGATACTGCATTGCCCTTCGATGTTATGATTAACGAGGTGACCAGTGTGCATGCCTCGGTGGCCTCAGCAGCTCTATCTTTCGCAACAGTTCTTCAGGCGAAGGTCGCTTTAGCGGGTCGACTATCCAACAGGACCTGATGATGCGGTACACCGCCATCGGGCAGTTCTGCGGCTGTTGCAGGCGGACCCCTTTTCTTAGCAGCTCCAGGAGTGTGCAGACGTCCGGGTGCATGGGACCGCCAGCGTAGCGCGGCTCCTCCCCAAAGCTGGCGATCCCCCACAGCAGGACGCCGTACGACCACACGTCACTCTCACACGTGTACACCCCGTCTCGTAACGACTCCACGGCCATCCACTTCAGCGGCAACAGCTCCTCCTCCTCACCGCCCTGCTGGGTGCGTGCGTACGCCGACGACACGTAGACGTCACGAGCCAGTCCGAAATCCGCGATCTTTGCCTCCTTCTTGCCGGTAATGACGACATTACGAGCTGCGATGTCTCGGTGAACGATCTTCAAACGTGCCAGCTCCGATAACCCGCTGGCCACGTCAGAAGCGAAACCGAGCCGTTCTAAGAGTTTCAGACTGCCCGTGATCTTACGCTCTTCTCGCAAACTCCAAAGGTACCGCCGGAGTTCTTCATTAGCCGCGTACTCTACCACAATGTACTGGGGGTCCGACTTGGTCACAACGCCGTAAAACTTCACCACGTTCGGGTGCCCATCTTTGTCCTCGTGGATTCTCGCGAGAATGTCCATTTCGCGACGAAAGTCACGGACAGCCAGCGCTGTCATGCGGTCAGGCCGGATACATTTGGCGGCGACCAAGACCTCGTATCCCTCCGGCACGCGCAGTCTTCCCCGTACAACATGGCCAAACTCTCCCTCCCCGATCATATGTTCGAAACGAATGTTCTCTTTCTCTATTTCCCATGGTGAAAGTGGTTCCATCTCCAAGTCTTCATCTGTGTTTCCTGCGTTGTTTGAACGGTGTCTATCTCGTCTTATCCTGATCGTAATCACGATACAGCAGAGTAGGGCCATGGAGGGAAGAACAGTCGCCAACAATTTCACAACAACGTGATTACCGTTAGGTTTTGGAACGATCTCACACCTGTCTCCATGGCGACCGGGAGGGCACAGGCACCCCTCCCACCTGTCACACGTCCCTCCGTACTGACAGTCACACACCTGTCTGCAAACTTCCCCGAAATGATTGGGAGGACATTCAGTGGCGTTTAGGACAAACGTTGAATTAAAGATTTCTCCGTTTACAGCCTTTACCCCACACGTGTATTCTCCATTGGTTGATTCTGTGATCAGCTGAAAGGTGATGGAACTGTTCTGTACTGTCCCGTCTTCAACAGTTGTTGTTGTGTTGGGATTGTCGTCTCTTGCTTGATAAAGCCAGGTCATGTTTGCTACTTGGATGTGTGGAGCCAGGCAGGTCAGGGTAAGATTGGTACCGATGTACTGGGTGACTAAATCGCCAGGTGTCGCGATGATGGCGACCTCGGGCCAGCGAATGTCACAGGCCCTCCCTCTCCAGCCCGGACGGCACTCACAGGCACCGTTGAAGCCATGGCAACGGGCACGGTTCTTGCAAACGCAGCGCTTGTCACAGTACAGTCCGTACCTGCCCTCGGGGCACCCCGTGATGCTGAACTGATGTATGGTCTTCACTGGCACTGTGAGATGCACTAACCTAATGACCGCGTCACATTGTACCCAATAGGACGGCGTGTGCCAAATCTCGTTCACCTCTATAAGCATAAAATAACGGGCACCCTCAACCATTTTGCACTGGCCACTCTGTGCCAACGGAGGCAAGTTACCATCGAGAGAAATGTCCAACATTGTAAAACTGGCTTTGTCTTTTGATTGTCTCCCGTGACATTGAAACTCAATTCTACCTCGATGAAGAACTTCAAGCGCGGGAAGGAAAATCCCTGCATCCGAAGCTAGTTCGGCCAAAACAACACAATATCGAAGGGAGCAGTCTCCGTACATGGTAGCATTGACGGCTTCGTAACGCCAAGGAGGTAAAAAGTCGGGGTACTGTAACTTTGAACCATTAGATAATACGACTTCAAAGGTTCCACCACTACTACTCATTACCATGTAGTCTTCAGTCGCCCCACTGTCAGGTAAGACTGGCGTTTCGCACCGTTTGTTGTAGTACGGTGGGTACCCGGGTACGTCCACGACCGTGACAACAAGATTTACATGGTGGAAGCTCCTACCTAAAGGATTCGTCAACTCCAAGGACAGGTTGTAACAAGGGTTTAACTCATAGTCTAGGGATGCAGCAACGAACAGCATCAAGTTAACAACATCCACCCCAAACTGTCCGAAATCATCGCCTGTGGTGACATTCACTGTCCATGATGTTCCGTTTTCTTCTTCTTCATTGAAATTTTGACTGACATTGACAAAATCGGTCAGGTGCAGAACTGTGGCGCCAACTGGCACATCCTCGCGCAGTGTGACATTCTTACTGAAAGCCACGAAGTTTTCGTATGCCTCTAAGGCTGAAAACAGGCTCGTCAACGCAAGCAAGGTCATGAACGAAACACACCGCGCCATCTTGTCAGCAAACTGCTTGGAGGAAAGTTCACGCTCCACTTTACGTGCTCTTGCTAGTAGGGTTGATGATGGAATTATAAGCCTTTCCTACATAAAAGAACACAAAGAATTATTTTAGTTTAGAGTCGTGCCGTACAACAAATCGTTAAACATTTCATACTGTTCATAGAACACCAAAAAAGCTTTATTCATTCCCATAAGCATCAGCTTTATTTTCATATATAGATTACATAGTTAAATGCTTTTAATGACTGATACGGCAGGACCAAAATAGACCAGTGAACGTCAGACCGCGCAGTGTCCCGCGTGGTGGAACGCGGCCGCTCTGCAGCGGTTACCATGGAAATAACGTTGTCAGATGTAAACTATCGGTCAATGAGCCGAAAAAAAACTATCTCAAATGGATCCTAACCTTTTCGTAAGTACAGTTTCACCGCCATAACCGACATTGTCTTGTTTATTTCTGGGAAGAAAGGGTTCAAATCGGAGGCTAATATCTGCTCTCGTTCATCCGCCAACGCTGTTCTCGGTCCCAGAGCAGTCTGCCGGGTTTTAGAAAACTCCGGAAGTGGAATCGAATAAAAATTCTACTGTTGGCCCTCAGTTGACTGTATCCATATAACTGCGCTAGGAGCCCTGTCCCGCGCCGTCAAATTCGGCCCTACTATAATATGTGTATCAGGTGTATCGATGGACGGTGGTCCCCTTTCCACGGTAGTTATCGAGGAAGGTAAATACAATCGGCCAAGAGGGTTTCCGCATGTGGCGCACAGCGTAGGGCGACGAGGGCGTGTGCCGGGGACGGGCTAACCAAGGCCCGCGCGCGTTTACTAACTCTCCGCGACGCCCAACACGAGGATGGCTCCCAGGGTAAATTTAGCAGAAAAACACCTGAATAGGGTAAGAGCAACACCGCAATACTCACCAACGTCTAACCACCGGGCGAGATGACTCCTTTTGACTGACTTCCTCGTGGCCGCCAGTTCCTTTTTTTGTTGTCACTCATGAGACAGCAGACGTGACTTGGCATATTGAAAAATCACTCAACAAATACCATACCAAAGATGTTGACGAAGCTTCCATTGTGAAAACGAAGGCCTCGGATTATAAGCAAACAAGAGATATACATGTAGTTGAAAGGCTTTCGACAAGGAAGGCTGCTATGCAAAACGGTGGTCGGGCATGGCACCAACGTCTACTCCGGGCGGATATTGATATCATACTATAACAAATAGTTCAAGATCTGTTACTATTTACGTCATCGCAAACAAAAATTAAGTTTGCTTAGCAGGCACCAATTAGGTAAGTGATGAAAGGATAGCTGTCCTGACTGTCGAAACTGTAACCTGTCTAACTAATAGCATGGAGGTAGAAAAAAGGAACCATGCTAATAGCGAGGCGGAAGGTTGCTATGCAATTCCTTGTCAATAAGGAAGGTTACTACATGTACGTCGTTTCAAACAGTTGTAGTTGTGACGGCTTGTTTAAAAGCTTGATGCCTTTTTCGGAGGGTTGTTTTCTACGTGCAAGTAACCTGTCTAACTAATAGCATGGAGGTAGAAAAAAAGGAACCATGCTAATAGCGAGGCGGAAGGTTGCTATGCAATTCCTTGTCAATAAGGAAGGTTACTACATGTACGTCGTTTCAAACAGTTGTAGTTGTGACGGCTTGTCTAAAAGCTTGATGCCTTTTTCGAAGGGTTGTTTGCTATGTGCAAGTGACCTGTCGAACTTACGGCCACAGCAAGTAAATTTTATGGATGACATCCGCGCGCGCATTAATTTTCGCCTGATTTTGGAAAAAAAAACAAGAAATTTTGTTGCCTTCTGACAGTGGTCAACATGCCGCAAATGGGCAAAGGTGCCTGTTGCCATGCCAGAAGGTGGATGACAGATAACTAGGAAGAGAAGAGACAAGAAAAGGCTCTGATTTAATGTTTTGTTTCTTACTTTGATGCAGTGATATGTGATGCTGGCTGTGTATATGTGATGTTCCTACTGAATCAAAACCATTTGTACAATGATTGAGTCAAAATTTTACATTGTAGGTACCTTATTTTTTTCGGCCCGCCTTGTTTTTTTTTCGCCCGCTCGCATTAGATTTGGAGTCTGCGGAGGATGTCATCCATAAAATTTACTTGCTGTGGCCTATAATAGCGAGGCGTAAGGTTGCTATGCAATTCCTTGTCAATAAGGCAGGTTACTACGTCGTTTCAAACAGTTGTAGTTGTGACGGCTTAATTGTCTAAAAGCTTGATACTATGTGCAAAGAGGTTTAAAATCAATTGTTTTGTAGCCTGGGTACCAAACCTTTGGTCGGCTTGGCGGTAATTTTTCGGCCCCGACCTTTACCAAGCAAAGGCAACTTATACCGCGGACCTATCTCCAGCTGTTTCCCTGTATCAGCTGACTTCCTGTATTACGCTTGGTCTTCTTTTGCCGCCAACTCAAAGCGAAGAAACCTACCCCCCCCCCGAACGCGCGGTAATTGAGGCCTGGTTGGCGGGCCCAGACGAGCTCGGCGCCGAAGGGATAGCGCTGAGCTCACGGCGGTCTGGTTACCAGGCTAATTGTTTTGAAACCGCCGCGGTATAAAATACGGGATTAGGTCCTACGTTCAATGCTTTACCAATTCTGTCGGAGACCGTCTTTAGTGATCAAAGGATTATTTGTCTATACAAAGACGTAAGCGCGTCTTTGCCTTCTTTCGTACTCTCCAAGCAGAGGTTGTGGGGGAATGATCGTTAGCTTTTTATATATGGCCTTTTTTTTGTACGTACCCCCACCGGTGGCTAATGGATACTGGCTGGCCAATGGATACTGGCTGGCCAATTTGATACTGTCTTTTTACCATCGAAAGGGAACTGCTTGGAGATTATTCTTTCGGTGTCTGAAGCTTAGGAAGACACTGATCTTCGCAATGCTTTGGTCATACTGGGATTAGGACTTTGTAAGGGCTTTCTCCTATAAGATTTGAAAGGGATTCGCCAAAAAGCAGTTACTCAAGCAACTGGATATGATTTTGGAACGTCAGACGTTTCAGCTCAACGCTTTACCATTGACGAAATTTTCAGTCACTGACGAAAGCTAGTGGATACTAGCTGAAACGTCTGAGGTTCCAAAATCATATCCAGTTGCTTGAGTAACTGCTTGTTTTTGGCGTATCTTATTCCTTTGAGGCGTTCGGTTAGCGCACGCGCACTACTTGCGATGGCAGCGGGCGCCGTTCTTACAAATGCAGGTTTTGTCACAGAGTAAGCCGTATTGTCCTACTGGACAGCCAAATGGTTTTATTTCGATGTCTACGTATTCAATATTTGCCAATTCAATGGACCTTGTTTTGACTGGGATACGAAAATGTGGAATTTCACAGGTATATAACTTAACTTCTGTCGTAAGAAAAAACCATGAACTAAAAATAAAGTAGCTGTACGTTTGGGCAGCAAGGACAACTTCAGGAACATACCCTCTTAACATATGTGATGTCATCCCACCACGTTTATGATAAATCAGATCAACGAATAGTTTGGGTGTTTTGTATCCCCCTGTGCACGTGAACTGTTGAATACCATTGTGCAAGAAATCTTCCATAGTTAATAAATCATCGTTATGGTAAGGCTGTAAAACTATGCGAATGTTGCAGTTACTGTTGTTTGTGACGACCCCCCAGGGGGCAAGTTTCTTGTCTGTTTGGGATGTGATGTCAGAAAGTTTAGAAAATGTTCTTTTCCCCAACAAGATGGCTCCATCTGTCGTCACACCTTCAAACGCGGCAGCTAGACTGTACAGCAAATCACCAGTCTCACCTCCAGGGTTGACCGGAGTTTCACACGTCTCGTTATACACGGGAGGATAGCCCTCAACGTCAGTCAACTCTACCTTAACAGTCGTGTTGTCAACTCCACTGCTGACTTCCAGCAGATATACCTGCTGTACTGACCAGTCCAGAGGGTTGGCGACCACAATAGTGCCGTTTTCCGTCACATTAAAGCGGCCGTACGGATTCCCGACCATTTTGGCACACGGAGGTTCCACTTTTTGTCCAGCTCGGTTCCCTGGTAGGCTGAAAATGGCCTCCCCAACAGCGACGTTTCCTGGTACGGTAACGCTGAATTCCTGGGCAAGAGCAAAGCAAAGAACCTGGGCAGAAACAACAAAAATACCTACAAGAGGCAACCCCTGCAAGTTCACTAACATAGTTTCTTCTTCACCTGCGTCTATAATGTTGCAAACAGACCTTTGAGGAAACAGCAAAGTTTCTTACTGGTGCACTTCCTCGTCGCTGCCCGAGCCTTAAGTACGTTCAAGGATCATTGCACTTCAATGGCACAGTATCATGTGTCACTATTCTCCAAGTAGATGCATGGTTCTGGTTCGTTTTCGGTGTTTTCAAAGAAATTAGTCGACGGCGCAAAGCAAGCAACCGTCAAGGCGTGTACATACAGTTCAATCGCGGTCAACATTATTTGCACTAAGTCACGAATTGACTGACTTTTAACTATGGCTTCTCCACATCACAAATTGGTCTGGTGAAAAATAGTGCTTTCTTTCAAGTTTCTCCTTCTCCTGCCATTTCGTTAAATGGATTCAATTTCTTAATTTTTTGGCCAAATGACATGAAATTTGGCAGGAAGGTAGAGTAGCAAAATACACCCAAAGTGGCAAAAAAGCAAAAAGGCAAAAAGGCAAAAAATATACATTTAAGGATCTGGAGCCCTGGTACTAAAAACAAATGACCTAAAATTTGGTATTGGCATGCCTTAGACATATATCTACAAAACCTCATTCGAGATTTTCACATACACTACTTTAAAATTGTGAAAATAGTTTTTTTGCTATTTTTGGACAAAAAATGTACACTTTTGGCCCCTGTGCTTTGATATTAAATTGAATTTGATACTAATCCCAATGACCTGAAATTCGGTATAGGGATACCTTGGACACATGTCCAAAGAATGCTTTCTACGCTTTGACATACATGCATATCACATTCAAATTGTGTAAAACATGTCTTTTTTTACTATTTCTGGACCAAAAATTATACATTTTTGTCTCCTGTGCCCTAATATTAAAACCAAAAGCCCTGAAATTTGGTATGGGAGATCATAGAATGTTATTTATGCTTTGGGAACTTAAAGAAATGTGTCACTTAAAGAAATATGTAACATGGGCCTTTTTTGCTATTTTTGACCCAAAATGTCCATTTTTTACTCCTGTGCACTAATACAAAAACGAAATAACCTGAAATTTAGCACAAGGGTAGCTTAGCACCAAATATTTAGACTATAGTGTTCACTATTGAGATTCAGCCCTTTAAAATACGTTTATTTAGTAGCAGCAATACCTTACTTTCAGTAAAAACAGCGATTGTAGCTTGAAAACCCAAATAGAAATTGAAAACCCCAAATAGTTCTAAATAGAACACTGGTTCTAGAACACTACTGTTTCTATAGCTACATGTTCCAACAAAAGGCATTGGAAGATTCCATTGCTGCATGGGGATATAGACTATTGGAACACTTCAAATTTTTGACAGGGGTGATTTAGAACAATCTATTTGTGTGGGAGGGGGATAGATCCATTTTGGTACGGGGGATGTGGTGTCATGGTGTACAAATGTCTCCATGGATTAGCCCCGAGCTATCTACTGAACACGTTCAATTATAATAACCAAATCCACAACTACCACACTAGACAATCACACCATCTGCACAGACCCAACTACATTTCAAAAGCAGGACAACGTACCTTTGCGTACAGGGCAGCAGTAACATACAACTCACTAAAATGTAACTTAAAACAAGCACTCACACTTAAAGCCTTTGAAGACAGACCAAGATCGGAACCCATCTTACACCTGACTACCTAATGACGATCTCGACAACCTGGATTTAACTATGTTTATTAATTTGTATGATTTGTTTATATGAGTCATCATTCTTATTTTTCAATTATTACTACTATGTTCATTCTTATTTTCAATTATTACTACTATGTTACCATTTCCTAAGTTACTCGGAATTTGACCTCTGGCCCTCCAAAGACCACTGACCGACTGTTGTGCTTAATTTATGCTATTTAATTTATGTTATATTATCATTTCTGTATTCTTATTTGCATTATATTCTTGTTTATTTATTATGGGCTCTCTTGGAAATCAGCCCCTCGGGGCTGAAGAGACTACCCATATGTTGTTAAGATAAATAAATAAATAATAAATAAAGCCATTTGCTGCATTTGCTCCCGAGAAAATGTCGGCC